TTGGTTGTCGCTTCATCTTTGTCACGTTCTTTTATTTTATTTAAAATAACTTGGTCCGGTGATCGACATTAATTAATTATATGTATAAAAGACCCTAACCCATCAAAAATTTTCCGGGTTCCTGCGTATAATGAATGCCTAGAGTTCTATTAGATCTACAAAGTTGGGTTAACGCCTGGCGATCTTGAAATTGTCTAGACATTCTTTCACATTTTTCGGGGAAAAATAGAGGCACAGACTTGTCTGGTGATCCACTTGTTTTTGTCGTACATGAAATATATGCATGTACCTCAGGAAAAATTCCGGATTGATGATCAACTCAAATTTTCCACATTCATCTTGACAAATAATGCTAATAATAAATCTGATCAAAGCGAAACACTTATGAAGTGCTTTTATATAAGAAGAAGGATATAATAGCAATTCAAGAAAAACTCGGTATTAATGATAGGGGTTTTCCATTTAAATGCCAGCGTATGATTGAACAAAAATCCAAGTGTGTACATGCGCATTTTGGCCAAATGGAGTTAACTCATCTTTTTTTTTTCCTGATCGACTAAAAAATGCCCAAATTTCCTCACTCATTGAGGGAAGGTTTAACCTGTTTCGCGTAACCTTTTATATCATTGCAAATGAACCCTATTTCGCACAAAAATTCATTATAAAATAAATCTTTAAACAACGTCAAGTACACGCCAAAAAAAAATAAAGATGTCTATTCAAAATATTATCGAATCCATTAAATCCGCTAATACTATAGATTTATTCATTTTAATTTTTGCTACTTGTATCTCTACCTATATCTTTAACTTTTATTACAAATACTATACTCGTCCCAATCCCCTCCCTGGTCCATTTCCCTTACCATATATTGGAAACGGTCATAACTATAGCGATGTAAAGAAATTTTATGAACAATGTCAACCAAAATATGGTGATATTTGTGAATTGATGCTTGATCGCAGATATATCATTCTTTCACGGCCAGATCATATTAAAAAACTTTTTGCTCCTGCGCAATTTTTCATGAGACTTCCAAATTCTCCAGGTACAGTCGAATTGGGAATGTGCAACCATGGACTTTTCTTCAATGAAAATTATGAAAGTTGGAATTATAATAAAGAGTTCTTTGCTAAGGCATTATCAACTAAATTTATTGATGAATCTATAATACCTATAAATCAAATATACGAAGAAATGTGTGGTTATTGGCAATCCCTTGGAAAGCAAAATGCTTCAAAGAAGAATAATGATAATAATAATTGGACATTAGAAACAGATTTTTCAGCATGGTCTCACGGATTCACTAATGATGTTACTTCAATACTTGCCACTGGGAAACGCACGTATTCAATTGCTTCTTACTATAACGCAGTAAGCACTAACAAATCCGAATTTCCTGATGCGTTAGTTGAAGATGGAAACAACTTTGTCAAAGCACTCGTAAAATTTCTTGAAAGCCTCTTGTTTTTCTCGTTCTTTAGCTCCTTTACTAGACATTACGTTCCAACATTCAAAAGCAAATCAGATTCTTATTTAAATAACCGTGATTACTTGTATAAAAAATTGGATAATATAGTTAAAAAGAGAAGAACTGAAATCGAAGAAATGCCAGAAACAAGAATGAAAACAGATATGCTTACTTCCTTAATTACAGCAGAAACTGTTGAAGGCGAGAATTCTAAATCTTTGACTGATAAAGAGATAAGAATGAATTTGCTAGATATGTTTTTGGGTGGAACAGATACTGTAAGTATTACTTTTCTATGATATACAATATTTTTGATTATTGAATTCGTATTTATTTCTATTTATTATAATTTAGACTGCCGACACATTCTGTTTCACAATCTATTACCTTTGTAAACATCCCAACGTAAAAAAAAAAATGCTTTCGGAAATTGATTCTATTATACCTGAATCTTCTGATAAACCTTACTTATCATGCAAAGATCTCAAGGAACTAAAATATTGTGAAGCTATAATTAAGGAAGCTAGTCGTTTAATGCCGGCGGTACCTTTTACATTCCGTCACACTATTAGTGAGTTTGAAATTGAAGGATATAAATGGCCAGCTGGAACAGATTTCCAATTAAATTTTGCGGGAGCACATAGACACCCTCAGTGTTGGGATAATCCTAAAATTTTTAATCCGGATAGGTTTTATAACAATGATGATAAGAACGATAGATCTGCTTGGTCGCCGTTTGGTGGAGGTAGACGTATATGCCCTGGAAAAAATCTTGCAATTGTCGAGTTACTTTTATTAATATCTTCAGTGTATAAAAATTATAATGTCGAGTTAGTGAATGAGCATGAGCCATTGAAAGTTCATACTCAACTAATTTCTACCTGTACAGAGTTGAAAGTTAGAATTAGTCCTCGAACTTAATTTATTAATTTTTTATCGAGTTTTTTTATATTATTGGATAAACAATGAGTTATGTATACATTTATACTGGGTTAGCACGTATGTTGCGGTTTATTTAATTCTTCGGTGGCAAATTTTATTAACACAGTTATTATCAAATTTTTAATGTATGAAAGAATCAATAAACTGTAATACTGTGTGCTTTTGCAAGAACTATTTTAATTATAAAATTATAAACTATTTTTATATATGTTTCACTATATAATTTCAAATCGGGCGATACTTTGTGGGGATACTGAAATAAATATTTATAAAACTCTAAAATAGCCTTTGCTCGAATGGAATCAATCAATCAATGACGAACAACGAGTATCTTTTGGAAAATTTAAACCTAAATTTAATCTGCACCGTGAATATTGTTTTCAAAAGATAATTGGGTTTTAAATTTCTCTACAAGGTTATGCCAGTTAATCATTTAGAAAACGTTATTGAATTGAATTAATTTCATGTTTATTTTCAAAGTATACGTATGGTGATATTAACATTAATTCAACCAAAAGGTAATTATCTGCTGTCTAGTCTCTCCATTCTTTTTAGTATTTATTTTTACAGCAATCCGTTAAGTTCACAATATAGCAGTGTAATATATCACATAAATTTATAAATTTACTTATAATGAGAACATTAAAATTTTTTTTTGAGAAGTTAAAAAATTATAATTTATGTTTCTAAAAGAATAAACAAAAATTTTCATTGAGCACTTGAGAATATTAAATATTCTTCATCAAAAAAAATGTTTGGATTACATGATTAGAAACATAAATATACTATATAGTAAATAAAATTATATTAATTTACTTAATTCTAACATTTATCAGATTGATTCCTAGTCAGATTCTGATATAAAAGCAGTTTCTCAAATTCCTCAGCTTGAGATTATAACTTTTATCAATGACTTAAACTTAAAGAGATAAAGTTATAATGAGTATAATATATTATAAAAAAACTAAATATTTTATGTTTGATTATATTTAATAAATATTTAAATCATATAAAATTTTAAAAATATATGCTTGATAATCTAGTAAACAAGTTTACTTAAAGCATTTAATAGTTTATTTTAATAAAATTTTTTATATTTAATTTTTTTTTATTAAAATTTTTTTTGAAAAAAATAATTATAAAAAATTTAAAATCTTTTTTTATTTATTATTTAATAGATATTTATTTAAATTATATAAAATTTTAAATATATATGCTTAATAATCTAATAAATAAGTTTATTTAATTTAATTTACAAAATAATAATTAAATTTAATTATAATAATTTTTTAAGTTTTTTTTATTATTAAAAATTTTAATTATAAAAATATAAATTATAAAAAATTTTAATAAGATAATTATTATTTAAGTAATTTTAAATAAAGTTATTTATTATATTCTCAAGCTCAAGTATATATATTTAAATTTTTATATTATTTAAATAAATATTTATAAAAAAATTAAAATATTTAATTTTTTTTTATTAAAGATAAAATATTTATAACCTGTTCATCAGATAATATATGATTTATATTTATCTTATCATCTAAAAATTATTAGGATATATAGATGACTTGATATATAATTTCTATCTTTCATATTATTCAAATGATAATTATAGCAAATTTTTGTTATCACTTATATATAATATAATATATATTAGTTTGATAACTATAACTAATTTCTGTTATTAAGTCACATGAGTAAAAAAATATACTAATAATATATTTAGTTATATATTATTATTTGTAAAATAAGAGTTATATCTAAATTTAATATACTGTATAGTATCTTAATTTTCTAATTAATTTCTTAATAAGAATCAGATTTGAGATATATAGTATTAAAATAGTATTTATATTTTAACTTTATATAATATATTTAAATATCAATCAAGAATAAAATATATAGTATTAAATTATTAGTAATTATTAGTGTTATATAATTTATTTAAATATTATCTAATAATGAAACATATAGTATCAAATTACTAATTATTATAATATACTTAAGTATTGATCAAAAATGAGATACATAATATTAAATTATTAGTATTATAGTAAATATCCAAAGTATAATTTTATATATATCTATAATAATTTTATCTTGATATGTTACTGATTCAGAATAAGATATTACATACTAAATATTATCTTACATGATAAATATCTATTTATAATATATATTTTTCTATAATAATTTTATTTTAAATAATTATTATTAATATATTATATTTTATAATTCTGAAAATTTTTCTTGTATAATTAATATTTTTGAATATTATTAAATATTATTTTTATTTAATAATTTATCAAAGTATAATTTTATAATATATATATCTGCAATAATTTTACTTTGATATTTTATTAATTTTTATTATTTTATTTTAAATAACTACTATCAGTATACTATATTTTAAGATTCTAAAAATCTTTCTTGTATAGTTAATATTTTCATCTTATATTAAAAATACTTTGAAATACTACTAATTTTTATATGTAAAATATAATTTAATATTATGTATTTATAATAATTTTATCTTAATATACTATTAAATACTAGCTATATTTTATAATTTTTGAATTATCTCTCATATAATTAATATTTTTATATTGATAAATATCCAAAATATAATTTTATTTTATATATATCTGATAGATATCTAAAGTATAATTTTATTTTATATATATTTAATAGATATCTAAAATATAATTTTATCTTAATCAAAAATATATAATACAAAAATAATTATTAATTATCTTATATATATATATATCTGATTATTTTTCAAGAAAATAATTTTGTAATATGATTATTTATTTTATTTTATATATCAAAAAAACTTATTATTATATAAAATTTTATCTAGCTAATATATAAATTAATATCTGAATTTATCTATCATAATTTAAAAACTCTTTTTGATAAGTGTTTGATCATTTAAATCTTATTATCCAAAATTATATAATATAAAAATTTCTTTATATAATTCAGATATTGAAATATTAATTTTTTATTTAAATTTTTTCTTTTATTTATTATAAAAGATGATAAAAATTCTCTTATTTAAATATATAACTAACTAAATATAATAATTTTTCTGCTTCAAAATTATTATTTAACTAAATTATATTATTTTGAATAATAATTATGCATATTTAATGAGAATTAAAGAATGAATTTTTAATTTTTTTATATAAAATAGTAAGAATCTTTATTTTAATCTTAAAATTTCCTTTATATTTCAAAAAAATAATCTTATTCATACTCTTATACTCTTTTTTTTAATAATTATTATTATCTTATATTTTAAAAATAATCTTAACTCTTCATTATTTTAGTTTTTCTTGAGATATTTAAAATTTTTACTGTAAAAGAAGAATAAGAATATTTATATCAAATTTATTTCTAATAAGAAATTTTAAAGAGAAATTAAAAATTCAAATAACTCTTTCTTAACTTTAATAATACTTAAAAATTACTTAGAATTATTTGATTGATTAACTATATTATTACAAGAACTCTTTTTATAAATCTTATTATTGAATTTTAAAATAATAATATTAATAGTAATAGATATAAAATTAAAAAATTCTTGAATTTTATTAACTAATTCAGATTTATATAGTAAAAGAATTAGAATTATAAGATGATAATTAGAATTATTTAATTTTATAGCTATTATAATTTCAAATTTAATATTATTAGATAATATATAACAAATTTAATATATTTTTTTTATATTTAATATTTCTTAAAATCTATAAATTTTTTCACTCTTAATAGTATAACTATATCAATTACTTAGTATTTTATTAATAAATTTTATTATAGTATTAAGATCTGATATTCTTTTAACTCTGATTTTAAATTCAAAGAGTAATAATATATTTTTTTAAATTTTAATAATTTTCTTTAGTAATTATTTAAAAGTTTTAATTATATTATTATCAAATTAAATCTTAAGCTTATTTCTTCTTGAAATTATTAAGAATAAGTAAGAATATATATCACTTTTAATATTTTATTAATATTTTATAAATAATTTAAAATTAAATATTAAGAATAAGAAAGAAAAAAATTAGGAATATTTCTAGAGATAGATACAAACTAGTAAAAATTATATAATTATTATCATTATCTTCTAATTTTAAATATTTTATTTATTTAAGATTATTATATTAAATATTTATTAAAGATAGTAGTCATAATTA